CAGACAGGTCTGCTTCTCGGGGGACTCGGAGATGGGGGCAGACAGGTCCTGCTTCTCGGGGGGTTCAGGGATGGGGGACAGACAGGCCCCGCTTCTCGGGGGGCTCGGGAATGGGGGCAGACAGGCACTAACAGACCCTCTGTGCCTCTCAGCTGACGTCACCACCCGCTTTGATGACGTCTTCTGGTTTGGGGACTTCAACTTCCGGCTGAGTGGTGGGCGGGCCGCAGTGGAGGCGCTCTTGCTGCCCAAGCTGGAGGCGAATGTGTCGGCCCTGCTGCAGCATGATCAGCTTCTCCGGGAGATGCGGAGAGGCCAGTGGGGGCCGCGGGGTGGGGGCGAGCGGCGGGCCGATGGGCCGGGGTCACGTGCTCTGCTCCCAGGTCTGAGCTGCGCCGTGTCTCTGTAGGTGCTGTTTTCAAGGGCTTCCAGGAGCCGGACATCCATTTCCTCCCCTCGTACAAGTTCGACGTTGGCAAAGATACCTACGATAGTACCTCCAAGCAGAGGACACCCTCCTACACGGTAACAGAGCCCCACCCAATGGAGAGAGCCCCCCCATGGTGAGAGCCTCCCGCCACAATGAGAGCCCTTCCCACAGTTAGAGCCCCCACCCCCGGTGAGAGTGCCCACCCCATGGAGAGAGCCTCCCCACGGTGAGAGCGTCTTCCCCAGCTAGAGCCCCCCCATGGCTGGATTCTGTCCCCCTCCTGGTACTCTGCCTGAACCCGGGAGTTTAGCCTCCACATGGGAAGCCCATAGGGACCACCAGTCCCATCTTCACACGGAGAAAGGACGCGTCCACTGCACACTGAGAGGCCCGTGTGTGAGGCGCGGCTCCTGGGAAGGTCCAGGACGTCCAGTGCTGGGCCCCACCCCTGGTCTCCTATAGGATCGGGTGATGTACAGGAACCGTCACCAGGAGGACATCTGCCCGGTGAGGTACTCCTCATGTTCCAGCATCAGGACGTCTGACCACCGCCCCGTGTATGGCCTGTTCCGCGTGCGAGTGCGACCTGGGAGAGACAAGTCAGTGTTCTTCACACAACCATGGTGCCGGGGGCATGAGTGGATTCTGGATGTGTCCCCCTGGTGTGGGGAGCCGACAGCCCCATACACAGAGGGTCTCTTGGGCTGGCAGATGGAGGGCCCTCAGGGTTCTGGGGTATCGTGGACAGTGTTGAGGGATGAGCTCCTAGGGGCTCCTCCCAAGGACACATGAGACTGGCCTCTTTCCGTAGCATCCCACTGGCCGCTGGCAAGTTTGACCGGGACCTCTACCTCCTGGGGATCAAAAGGCGGATTTCTAAGGAAATTCAGAGACAGCAGGTGCTAGGGAGCCACAACTCAAGCACCGTCTGCGCTGTTTCCTGAGAGGCACCGTCACCGTGGGTCTCGCTGAGCGCCCTCTCCCCAGGTGCTGGCACAGTGACTGTGAAGGTGTGAGTGCCCCACGAGGGAGGGGGGCTCTAGGATGGGTCACATTCCTGATTAAACCCCATCGTGCTTCCATGTGGCGTCCCCACTCAACACCTGCCCAGCTTCCTGTCTTCAGATGGACAGAGCAGAATCCCACCCGGGACCCTGGAGCAATCACCACCCAAGGCGACACATCATGTCCACTCCCAAGACCAACAGAGTGGCAGGGTCTGAAGTGGGGGGCCTTGAGGCCTCAGAATTCCCTAGGCTTTAGAACCTCCGAGCTGAGTTGGCTTCCTAGGTCCTGTTGTTGAATCAGAGACAGAGCCTCCTGCCTCCCCCAGGCCTTTCCCAGGGCCGTGTCTCCAGCTGAAAGTGCAGACCACTCGCTGTAGTCTGCACCGGCCGGGTCCTGGGCGCACAACCCGCAGCTCTGGGAGTTCAGACCGGACTTGAAAATGTCCACCAGTTGAGCGAGTCTCCCTAAGTAGCAGAGAAGTAGAGTCTGCCTCCGTATTAACCTGGCACGCAGTGGACACCGGGCTTTGTCTCACACGCCTCTTGAAAACAATGCTACCTTTGATGTGTAAGGGCCTAGGGGCGTTCAATCTAGTCTTTTAAAGTATTTATTTTTCCATATTTATATTTTTAAATAAATGCATATACTGAATCTTTGTCTTTTTTTTGTTTCTGACCAAAGATTGAATCTTAGAAAGAAATAGTGTCTGAGCACAACTGTCCTTACTATGTTTTCTGTAAAAATTCAGTTGTACCTCAGTCACCAGCTGCTGGCCTGTCTCCACTGATGATTCGGCTGCTTGAACTCAGTGGTAACTGGGAAAGGTCTTTTGTGGGGAGAATTGAGGAAACCATTGAGGAATTGTGAAGTTCCTTTTAAATGAGTAATATATAAACATTTAGTATGTTTCCAAAACATGAAATGTCTGTTTTCAGCAGCTCTTGTGTGGGGTAGCACCACCATCCTGGGCTCATCTTACTTCTAGCTCTGCAGCCCCATCTGGAAGCGGTGGGAATGTGTTAGAGACGAGACGCGGGTATTAACAGGCTGTTGGGGGCTCACCTGAAGCCGGTACTCCTGACACAAGTGTTGAGCACGGTGTGGCAGTGGTCACTCCGTCTCTAGAATTTCACATGGCAACTTGGTTGAATGTCCATATGAATGCAAGCTGGCTGGGCAGGGTCCGTGGAAGATGAGCTTCCTGAAGACTTGGAAAGGTGAGCCCGCAGGTGGCCTGCCTCCACCGGACCAACCTCAACTATTGCCCGAATATTCAAAAAGGAGTCAGTGTTTGTGTACGGCCCTCACAGCTCTGGCAACACTAGCTGGAGATACTGGTCCAGTGCATGAAGCCAGGGGCCCAGCTGGGCAGCAAATGTGATGGTACAGGAGGCCTGGACCACTCGGCCGTCCTGTGCCAAGTGTGTAGGATGAGGCAAGGCCTCAGCTCCAGGAGGCTGGGGACAGGACACCTGGCACCCTCTGAAGTTGGGTCAGAAGATCTGAGGGGGGCTTTGACAGGAGTGGTTTGGGTCAAAGGTGGGGGGAGTCCAGAGAAAACAAACATGCACAGCTGGTGACAAGTCCCTGGTGAAGGGGCAGAGGACGGATGGTGTGTGGGACACCAGGGAGGTGGCAGTCGGTGGGCCAGACTCAGGGGTGGACACACAGGCTGGGGAACAACCTGAGAACTATTGCGGGTGATTCCTATTCTCACACTTGGTTATCACTGCCCTCTCACCCACCCCCCACCGGCCAGCTGTGAATGGCACTGTCTCCGGCTCGGGCTGGGGATCTCTGCTCCCAGCAGCATGAAGACGCACCACGCGTGGACGCTGGACAAGTGCAGCAGAAAAGGGACTCCAGGCCCAAGGGGGATGGCTCCCAGGGAGTCACTTCCCCTGGGGGCGGGGAAGGCTGCAAAGGGGTCCCGATACCTTCTGGTAGATAAAGTGGCTCCACAAACTGCAGAAGTAATGTTTATTTTTGCAAATGCCCGCCACCACCCCTATGGCAGACCCCGCTTCCTAGTCGTCCTTCAGAAACAGTTCCTAGAGCCGGAGGCCTCTGTCCCTCAGGGGGTTAGCCTGCCACGGGAGATGCCTCAGTCCTGGGGGAGTGTAGAACTGCGGACCTCCACCTTGAGGGCCATCACTGGGCACATCCAGTGCTTGACGTTTCTGAGCCTGCCACCCCCCCACCCTCCTGCACTTCACCAACACCGTAGGAGCAACTCAGGCTGCCAGAGGGCAGGTGATAGTGGGCCAGTCACTCCTGACTGCGCCACTCCAGAGATGGCCATGTTCCACACCGCAGCCCTGTAGCTCTGGGCTTCTCCAGTTTGCAAGGCATGCTGGGAAACCGAGTCAGCCCATGTGGGAGTGGGTAGGGTCCCACCAATCCTTCTGGCCTCAGCAGCGAGTTGGCGCTCACCCTCCCCCTGTGACAGGACACTACTTGTTTCTTGCTTGGCTGGAATCCTGAGCAGAACCTTCCTAACACAGTGGGGGCACAAGGCAGGGATGAGAGCGGGACACACAGTCTGGTTCCTGAGAGTAAACGGCAGCAGGGTCCATGTTCTCATGTGGGAGCAGAGCCCCAGGTCGGCACCCAGGGGGGGAACTCCGGCCACATCTGTACTAAACGGACCCGAGGGTGGCACTGGCCCGGCTCCTCTCCTATCGGAAGAGCCTGTATGTCCTGGGCAGACGTCCGTCACGGCTGGACAGGGCCGCCTGAATATGCTCATATGTGGGCAGGTCACTCAGGTCACCTAGTGCAGCCACTGCAGGCTTCCCGCGGAGCATCTTAGAGGCCACTCTCTTGATGTCCTCTGACGTCACGTTATCTAGTGGACAGCAGAGTGAGGTCAGTGGGGCCTTCCCACAAGAGACCTGTGGGACGATGGATGTCCCCGAGCCCCGCCCCACTCACTGATGAGGGCACATAGCTCATGGGGCAACTTTCTGGATCGCGTGGCCAACACCTGCCTCCCGACATCCTCGAAGATCACGGGCCGGGACTCCAGATTCATCATGAGCATGGATGACAGCTGCGTCTTGGCGCGCTCCAGCTCCACCTGCAGGTCCAGGCCCCGCTCAGCAGCCGCAGCGCCACCAGAGGGGCCTGTGAGAACGTGTTCTTGTGTACGTGTATAGTGCCCACCGCTTCCTGTGTGTACCATGTATACCCGTGTCTGTGTAGTGCACACACCCACTGCCCACAGCTTCCTGTGCATGCATGTGTATCTGTGTCTGTGTGTGTAGTGCAGGTACCCACTGCCCAACACTTCCTGTGTGTACATGTGTGTACCCGTGTGTGTGTGTAGTGCACACACCCACCGCCCAAAGCTTCCTGTGCATATGTGTGTACCCGTGTGTGTGTGTAGTGCACACACGCACGGCCCAAAGCTTCCTGTGTGTACATGTACATCCGTATCAGTGTGTGTAGTACACGTACCCACCGCCCAAGCCTCCTGTGTGCACATTCATGCGTGTCTGTGTCTGTAACAAATGGTCCAGGAAAACGGCAAATATTAAGCAGCAGTAAACAGAGAAGCAGCAGGGCGCAGACAGAGGTGAAGCCGAGCGCAGGCTGGGAAGGCGGCCAGGCTGCTCCCGCCCACCTCCATCACCGCCAGGGCTGCCATGGGTACAGAGACAAGGGAGGACAGGACAGCCCAGACGAAGGGTACTATGCTGCTGGCGACAGCTGGGGTCTGTCACCCCCCAACCACACCCCTCAGCATGGCTGCCCCACCTGTTGAGGGCAGAACAGCCAAAACCAAGCCCCATGCACAACGCACCCTGTCCACAGCTCCGCCCATTAAAATGAATTCCTTTGTGATGATCTCCACCATCTCTCGAACCTGTGGGGAGGTAGGGTGTGGGAGTGCACCTGAGGCAGAGACCCAGGACCTTTCTGAAAGAGCCCAGAGCTGAGCCCGCACTACATGTCCACCTCACCTGCCGAGGGTCCGCACTGGCATGGATGCACAGCAGGCCTGTGTCCTCATAGCTATGGTGGTAGGACGTGGCATTGTACATCCAGTGGTGTCTGCAGGGAAGACGGTCCCCCCATGACCCGGAGACCCGCACGGCCCAGCGAGCACACTCCCAGCCCACCCCCAGCCCACCTGTTGAGCACATTGAGGTAGAGTCTGGTGAACATGCCCTTCCCGGGCCCGCAAGCCGAGACCCGCACGGCCCAGCGAGCACACTCCCAGCCCACCCCCAGCCCACCTGTTGAGCACATTGAGGTAGAGCCTGGTGAACATGCCCTTCCCGGGCCCGCCAGCCGAGAAGGAGCCGCCCCCGCCCATCATCATGTTCAGCACGGCAAACGGGATGAAGTCTTCCTCCTGTGGAGGGCAGGTGCAGAGAGCAGGCGCGGTGCTCAGCCGGAGCCCGGCCACCCGGTGCAGCCCGCTCCACCCCACCCCCGGCCCTCACCAGAAAGGAGCAGCTCTCCAGGCCCACCATGACGTGCGTGAGCTCCGGGATGGGAGTAGGGCCCAGGCTGGCGTTGGACATGTCTCGTTCCAGCTGTGACAAGCGACAGGCAGGCATGGCCCGGTGAACAATAGGCAGGCTGTGCCTCTCGGCAGGCAGCAACCCCATTAAGGTGGGCCTTCGAGAGGAAGTGTAGGTGACGTGAACTCACGCACACACGCATGCACGCACGCACGCATGCACACACACAAGGTGGCGGGAGTCAGGAGTACATCAGTGTCCCCACCACACGTTACCTTGACAATGCCTCCGGTGTATTGTGCCACCGACCTGTCCACGTCCACAGCCCCCTTACTGCCCCAGGCCGGGCAGAGGCCCAGAAGGTGCCGGCGGGCACACTCAACCAAGCGTTCGTGCTCGACGCCCACCCCGGCCAGCACCATGCGGTCAGGTGTGTAGTAGTTCCGCAGGTAGGCATGGAGGGCTGCCCGGTCGATCTTCGCTATGTTTTCTGGGGGACAGAAGCGGTGGAGGCCCACCGTGTTTTCCCGGTAAGCAGCCTGAGAACAGAAGCAAATGAGCTGGTGATGTTGGGACCTATATGGCGAACTTCTCGGACCTGGTCTAGCAGGCAGGGCTTTGGGTCTGTCTATGAAGACCCCTGAGTGTCATGAACAGTTTGTGCGTGACTGGAAGCCTAAATAAGTTGTCAGTTTAAACCAACCAGTGGTACTGCACAAGAAAAGTCTGGCAATCTCCTTCCGTTAACTCCATGACAACGGAGGCCTGCACACAGCACGACCACGTGTACTATGGACACGACTCCACAGGACAAAGCACTACTGCCCACAGGGCTTTGGAGGCTACACTATAGAAGCCGAGGGCCTCATCTGTCTCCCACAGAGCTGGTGGCTTTGAACCACTGCCCTCTCGGTTAACTGTCCATCAGGGTTACTTCACAGGCAGAGTGTTAACCAGAGACACCGCTACTCTAGGACGCTGGCAAGCCCTGCCCAACCTTCAGACTCAACCAACTAGAGACGCAGACTGCGTTGGGCTCCGTGAACCCCCGAGACCTAGGAGGAGGACACAGCGGCAAGCGGCCCCTGAGTCACTGCCCCGGTCACCTCGTGGATCATCTCGGTGAGCAGCGGCTCCGGGTCTGGTCTCATGTTGAGGTCCTCCAGCTCAAATTGCACAGCCATTCGCGTCATCTCCAGCTCCTCATCTGTCAGGGAGCCGGGACCCCGTCAGAGAGCCTGAGCGCTGGACCTCGGCTACCTCCACCCCAGAGTGGCCAGTGCTGCAGGGCAGACCCAGGACTACCTGGGGGACCACCACAGAGAGCAGCCCTGATGAGCTTGCGTGTGACACCGCTGTGAACTAGGATGTGACACCACATCCATGCAGGCTCGATGCCATGTGGCCTGGGGACATTCCTGCGGGGACCCAGATGCTCAGTGACAGAGCCAAGCAAGAGGACACGGGACAGGCTGTGAGCTCTCTCCATGGAAGAGATGAGCCCCACCCTCAGCAAGAACAGTCCTGGTTGGGTTTCCGGTATTAGCAAACCCAGACCTCCAGCAATGTGGCCCCAATGCGCTCCCCCTACCCCGGCCCCAACCACACCTGTCAGCTGGGGCTGTAAGACCACGTCCGCCAGCAAGCCCACCACAGTGTCCAAGCCCTTGGCGTCAGCAGACACTGCGTACATGGTGGTGTCCCTGAAAGAGAAGGCAGCACAGCGCTGAGCATGGCCGGAGGACCATCACCTTCTGTCAGCTCGCAGCAGCAGGCCCCCTGGGAGCTGGTACCTGGACGTCTGGCAGTCACAGATGCCCCCGTGCTTTTCCAAGGTGAGCAGAATTTCATCTTTGTTGCCAAATCGAGCAGTAGACTGGGAAAAACACATGAGAAAGCATAACTGAGCAATTTAAAAAAACAGTTAGAAATACACACAAAACCCACAAACAAGACTCAGGAGACGAATTTACGTTTGCTTTCAAAACACATGAAAACAGATGATCTTTACACTCAGAGATCTGCCCTCCGCACTGACTGACCAAGCACCCCAGTCTTTGGTTAAAACAGCGACCACCCCCAGAGAGAGAACCCTGAAGGGGCCAGCCAGGAAACCGACACTGGACACTGACCGAAAATGCCAATTTTTCCAAAAAGTGAGCAATTCCACTGTGATACTTTGCTTCATATCTCGATCCTGAATTAATAAGTACTGGAAATAAAAAGACAACAGGTGGAATCAAACATCGACAGCGGCAGCATTCACTGAAGTCATGACTATCGCTGAATACGCGGACCTGCCCACGCAGGGGTGGCAGACAGTTTGTCTGACTGTGATGACAGCTTCACAGAAACACACGTGGCAATGTTTGTTACACTTTAGATGTGTGCAGTTTACTGTGTGCCGATCATACCTCTACAGAGCTCTAGCTGGTGCGAAGTGCCATCGAGTCACCTGTGACTCATAGAGACCCTGTATAAGGGTTTCCAAGGAGCAGCTGGGGGGTTTGAACCATTGACCTTGATGTTCAAACCAACCTTGAGGTTGAGTGCTTATCCTACAGTGCCACACCAGGACTCCACACTAAGTTTTTAGATGAGGCTTTATTATTCACTTCACCTTTTCGGTTATAAAAGTTACGTACACATTTGGGATGGAAGTTATAGAATTTTAGAAAGGGTGGGAGGAACCACCCTAAATGCCAGCACCAGCAATGACCAGTGTTCATATTCAGGTTAGAAGCCACGCCAGGTGTGCTGATGACAACCAACAGTCCACAGAGCGCCTGCAGGATAAAACCAGTGAGAGCTCTAGAAGCTTCTGGCAGTACTTACTTCCCACGGTACAAAATTGCCCAAACTTATTTTGGGATGCCACACGAAGCCCGTTATCCAGTGTGGTAATTTTGGTTTCGAATTTTTCCTGTCCATCGACTGTAGCAAACACAGGCTTGGGTACGCCGGGTAGGGGAGAAGACAGGGGGATGTTGGGATAGGCACCACCGCTACTGAACTGCCTGCATGCAGGGGGTCCAAACCTACGGCAGAGAAATGGGCCCCATTACAACCAGCTTTAACCACCTCTGTCTCTGTTTCTGTAATCTGTATTCATTAAAAACCAACAACATCTCCTTTCTAACGGATTTCTCTCTGTACCCTTCCCCGGTACGTTCCCCACAATCCGAGTCCTGGGACCTGAGGCTAGGTCAGCTCTCAGGGCATCACTTACATGCTCTGTAGACGAGGGCTAAGCTACGTCATCTTAACTTAGCCTGAGAACGGTGGGGTGTTTGTAGCACTAAAATGATCTGTGCTTACCGAGCAATCAGAACTCTGCCGAGACCCCAGCCCACACAGCCCCCCACGGCCACCCTTCTCGTCCCTTCGCCCGGGCTCCACGGCTGCCCTGCTCCCCAACACCTGGCATTTAATGATTCTGTCCCAAGCTGGCCGCCCCCCAACTTTCTTCAAACCATCTCCAGCTTGCGGACATCGGTTGATTCCGCGGTGTGAAGCCCCTTCTTTAGCCCCACTCTGCCCCGATTGCCCGTGTCTCCCAGCGCCGGCAGTCAGCAGGTGCTCTTTGCAGGTTTGTGACCTGCAGGAACGTTACAGCGCCGGGCGGCTGGAGGGACCAGGGTCTCCGCCAGCGCGGCCCCACAGATGGACACGCGGACGTAAGGGTAGAGACGGCGCGACCTCCGACAAGTCCCACTGGACACAGAGGGGAAGGAGGGTGGGCAGCGAGGAGCTGGGCAGACGAAGCGAGGATGGGCCTCGGGGCCCGGGCTCGAGGCGCAGGGCAGGGGAGACGTCCCTGTCGTCTCGGACACCAAGCAGGTGGCGCCTGGTCCGAGCGAGCCGCGCCGACTCTGGGCCAGAGGGGACCCGAGACGGAGCCTCTGGAGAGGCTCGCGCTGCGCCGGCCCTGGTCCGACCCCAGGGTCGCCGCCCGCTCACCTCAAACGGGAGTGACCCCAAGAACCCGAGCCCCGCAGCAAGCGCGTCGCCGCCAGTACCATGCCCGCCATCTTGTGTCTCCGCCCCTCGCTTCTGGCGTCACTTCCGTTTCCACCCTGGCGCCCCTCCCCCCTACCGCCCGGCTGCGCTTCCGGTGGCCGGAGCGGAAGCCGCAGCTAGAGGCTCGGCGGATAGGCGGCTGCCGAGCGGCGAGTGGGGCGGGCGGCCCGGGCGGGGCAGAGACCATGGGGCAGCCGCTGCCGGGCTAGCGAGGTCCAGCCCCGCCGGGCCCGCGGGGATGGCGGGTTACGCGCGTCGCCCGGGCGTCACCCCGCTGACCCGAGCCCGGAGCTTGGTCATTCCGGACGGTGAGCGGGGCCGCCGGGGGGTCGGGAGGGCTGTCGACCCGGGTTCGAGCCTGGCGCAGGTGAACCGAGCCTGGCCGAGCGCTTTTGTTGCTTTCAGCTCCCGCGTTCTTTGAGCGCCGGTCTTGTCTCCCCCAGCTAGACTGTGAGCGCCCCCATGACAGGGAGCCGGACTCCCACCTCCTCGGCATTCGGCCGACGTTTATGTGCTATGTGCCCAGTCCGGTGCTAGCGTCCGTGGGAGACACAGGTGAGAGACGCTCGGGGGGGCGCTGCCGGTAACTTGCACCGCCGGCCCCAGCCGGGAGGCTCACAGCCTAGTGTTGGGAAGGGCAACCCCGACAGACGAAGCCCCGCCTGGGACAGGGCCCCCGAGCCTCGGACTCTGACGAGAGCTGGATCCTGCGGGCAGAAGCAGGTCATCCGCACCCTGCCCCAGCGCCCAGGCTGCGGGGCCCCTAGGTTTGCAGTGAGTGCCCAGGTGGGATGGAGGGCCCCTGTAGGGACCTGAAAGAGTGAATCCTGGTGGCATAGTGAGTTTAGGGCACGGCTGCTAACCAACAGGTTGGCAGTTCAAACCCACCAGCCACTCCACAGGCGAAGGATGGGCAGTCTGCTTCCATAAATTCTCTGGGGCAGTTCTCAGTCCTTATAGGGTGACTTTGAGACAGAATCGACTTGATGGCAGAAAGTTTGCAAATTGGTCCCTGAAGGAGCCCTGGTGATGCAGTGGTTTAGTGCCTGGCTGCTAACCTAAAAGTCAGCAGTTCAAACCCACCAGCTGCTCCACTGGAGTGAAATCTGATGGTTTCTAATAAGATTGTGTGTGCCCTTGGGTGGGTTCCTACTCATAACAGTTCTGTATGGGATTTGCAAGGCTGTAAATCTTTATGGGAGCCAAAACCACCATCTTTGCCCTGCAGAGCACCCAGTCAATTCAAACCGCTGGCCTCTGGTTAGCAGCCCAGTGAGTGAACCCATTGTGCCGCCAGGATTCCTCTCTGTAACGATGCCCTTGGCAACCCTGTGGGCCAGTTCTCCTCCGTGAGTCAGATCTAACAGCAGCAGTGGATTTTCAGTGCTTGGTCTCTGAGTCACAAACAGTTTGGGCTTGACTGTTAATATAAATTGGAGCTCTAGTAACATAGTGGTTTATGAGTTGGGCTGCACACCACAAAGTTAGCAGTTCGAATCTACCAACTGCTCCATGGGAAAAAAGATGAGGCTTTCTGTGCCATTAAAGATTTACAGCCTCAGGAAACCTGTATCGGGTCACTCTGAGTCCAAACCGGCTCTACAGCATACAGCTAACACCACCAGACACACTAACTTACAGGAAACTTAGTGGGGCACTGTGGGATAAGCACTGGACTGCAAGCTAGGCAGTTCAAACCCTATACAGGATCACTGTGAGTCAGAACCAACTCCATGGCACTCAACAACAATAGTACAACCTTGGTAACCCTAAAAGTTGATGATTTGAACCCACCCAGAAACATCTCAGAACATGACCACCATTGAAAACCCCATGGGGGGTTCAGGTCTTGATAACATGGGGCCACTTTGATCTGGAACCAACTCCATGGCAATGGGTTTGAGGCTAATGGCACACAGGAGGACAGACCATAAGACTCCTCAGCTCCCCTACCCCACCGTGGGTGCCAGTCTCCAGGGTCAGAACTCTCCAGGTGATAAGGACACGCCAGTGGTCCCCATGGTAACCACGGTCATGGTGGGGGCTGGCGTCTCTTTGCAGATTTTGCCTATGGAAAAGGGAAAGGCCCTCTGCCAGGCCCACCAGGAGCCCACAAGACACACTTTGGAGGTAGAGTCCCGGGACACCCTTCCTTTGTCTCTGCAGCCCACATGCTGCGCACTTGTAGGGTGCTGGGCTTCTAGGTTCAGAAGGAGGTCCACACTGTGCCTGGAGTCAGGAGGAGCAGGTGACATGGTGGCCTGACTCGGTCCAGGGAAGAGCCGCAGAGACAAGCTGGAGCGTGCCCCCCTGAGGGCTGGCCAGTCAGTCAACCTGAGGGACGAGGAACTTATGGGGGCTGGGGCCACAATGTCAGTTGCCCTGAGGATGTCGGTCACATGAGGGGCTGAGTCTTTAAACCTCAGAATCCCCCTAAAGAGACTGAGCACTTGGCCTGTGGCAGGAGCTTGGCACCTCCCTGGCACCAAGGGGCTGTATGTGGATATTTGGGGCTCTGTGGGTGGGGGAGGAATAGAGTGGGAGATGAGCGTCTTGGGCAGTCAGGCCAAAAAATCTGATAGCCAACAGTGAGTCCAGAACCTGAGGGGCTTTAGTTTTAAACTGAATTGGGTGAAGGTTTACAGAGCAAATCAGTTTTCCGCTCAAAAATTCATGCATTGTTTCTTGACATTGATTACAACCCTCACGATGTGAGAGCACACGCCTTACCTCTTCCCTGTGCATTCTGTGCCCCTGCCCCCTCCTGGCCTGACCCTTCTGAACTTTGCTCTTGGTAAATACTGCCTTTTGACCTCACAGGGTTGATGATTGTAAGTTATGTGTACCTCCTGAGTGTTACCAGTCCCCTAAGAGACCTGTCTATTGTTTGGCTGAAAACTCAGCTGGGCAGTGAGTTAGGTCCAGACCTAGGGGTCCCACCAGACTGTCTGACAGATAAGCCTGGTCTCCGGATTTTGAGTTGTGTTCCACATTTTCTCCCACTCCATCCAGGACCTCGTCATGTGATCCCTTTCAGAGCAGTTGGTGGTGATAGGCAGGCACCATCAAGTTCCTCGTGTCTCAGGGTCTAGGAGGCTGATGCTCACGAAGTCTGTTAGTCACTGGACTACTTGTTCCAGGTGTCTTTGGTTTCACATCTCTTCCTTCTGGCAGGGAGAAATCGAAGTTACGCCTTAGATGGCTGCTCTCGAGCTCCTAAGACCTCGTTGTCTGCTCACTAGAAGGCTGTAGAACGTTGCCTTTATGAACGGTTACGCCGTCTGACTGTGGTGTCCTTGAGACTGCGGTGCCAAGCCACAGAAGGGCCTTTAGGGAATCCCAGTGTTGAGGTGGCTCCCGGGTTCCTGGCGTTTTCCCTGTCTCGGAGCGGCTTTTCCAGGTGTGTCCTGGAAGGTCATCGTGCGCTGGTCTGTCTGCTTCCAGATGATAAGCTTGAAGAGCTTGAAGAAGCGAATCCTTTCTCCTTTAAAGAGTTTCTGAAGACCAAGAACATCGGCCTGTCCAAAGATGACCCACCCAGCAGTAGGATTTACGCCAAGGTACCTCAGGCAAGGTCCTCCAGGATGTAGGCAGAAGCAGGGCTGCGCGGGCTGTGGGCAGAGCTGGCCAGCAGAGAGTCGGTGCTCCGATGTCACTGTTGACAAGACAGGGCAGAGCTGCAGCGCCTTGGCAGCCTGGCGTCCTGCTTTCTCCCCAGGAGACAGCCAGACACTCTCTGGGACTTGACCACAATTCCCCAAGTGTCCAGACGGTGGGCTTCGGCCTGGAGTACCCACAGCCGTTCTTTGAGGACCCGACGGGGGCTGGTGACCTCGTGGATGAGGATGAGGATGAGGACGATGCCTGGACTTGGGCTTACCTGCCGTCTGTGGTGGAGCAGACCCACTCCCTGCGGACCACCACCAGCACTTCGCCCTGCAGCACATACGTGTCCTTCTTCTCGAACCCGTCGGAGCTGGCGGGGCCCGAGTCTCTGCCCCCCTGGACTCTGAGTGACACAGACTCCCGAGTTTCTCCGGCCTCACCCTCGAGTAGTCCCAACCCAGACTTTGCCACCCACGGAGAGTCTCTGGGGGACCGGCACCTGCGGACGCTGCAGATAAGTTACGAAGCAGTAAGTGTGGGAGCCCGGCAGAACCCTGCTTCCCTGGGGTCCAGGGTTTGGGCTCGAGGACAACAGCCTCTTGCAGGTTTCCTGGCAGAGTGTCCGGCTGTGAGGAGGGCATGGGCCTTAACGGCTGCACCTCAGAATAGGGTCAGTGGGAGCCTCTGGTTTAGGGACTTTGACAGGTGCTCAGAGGACATCCTGGTGTGGCACTGTGGGATAAGCACTAGCTCCTGAGAACCCCGTACTAGGCTGCTATGGGTGGGAACTGGCTGGAAGGACTCAGCACGGGCACACGGGCGGAGATGAATACAATGGCCTGCTGACCACAGCTGCTCCCCCATCGTCCTCGTCATAGAGCAGTGGTTCTGCCCCAGATGTCCCAGAGCCCAGCCCCACAAGGGCCCCTTTCAGGGAGCCATGCCGAGTCCCTAACGCAGCTTCTCTTTCTCTACAGCTCAAAGAGGAGAATTCTAAACTGAGAAGAAAGCTGAACGAGGTTCAGAGTTTCTCTGAAGCTCAAACAGAAATGTATGTAAGCTGTCAGGGACCACTGAAACACTCCTAGCATTTGGGGGGTTCACTTCCAGTGTCAGCCAGCACAAGGCTTTGACGCATGACCCCTTGAGCGTTTTAGGACGAATTCAAGCCAACACAGAACGCGGGCCTTCCCGTCTGTCCTTCTCGTGCCCTGACCTGAGACCTGAGTTTCCTTTGGTAGTGGGGTTCGTGGTGGCTAGTTCCTCCATCCCATGGGAACGCCTGGTAGAGCAACCTTAGAATTCCCGCCATGAGTGACTGCGGACTCCGTTCTTTCCCCGTGACCAGGGTGAGGACTCTGGAACGGAAATTGGAAGCAAAAATGGTCAAGGAGGAGCGTGACTACCGTGACCTGGAGTCTGTGGTCCAGCAGGTGGAGGAGAACCTTGAACTGATGACGGTATGAGCGGGGGTGGCACTGGGCCCTGAGAGCTCTGGCTGGGGTGAGGGTAGGTTCTGGGGGACAGTCCCAGAAGTGGTCAGTGACAGAGGGACTGGGCACAGTGTGGGAGGAGCTGGTCAGAGGGGCCCCGGGATTCCGGTCTCTGTGTCGTAATGTTAGCTGTTGAAAATGCTCTTTGTATCTTTGGGTGACAGAAACGGGCGGTGAAAGCAGAAACTCATGCCCTGAAGCTGAAACAAGAAGTCAGCTCTCTGCAGGTAGCTACAGGAACGCGCTGTTTCACGTGGAGAGGGCATTGTGGAGCAGGTGGGAACCGTGCTCTGCCAGTGTGCCTTCCTGAACTTGGGCCTGGGGGCCGAGCCCTCGCCTCCGGGCGGTACAGCTCCTACCCGGGAATCCAGTGCCTTCTGGCTCAGGCTGCTGCCAGGTGGACCTGGGCCAGCAGGTCTCAGGGAAGGGGCTACTTAGGCCCCACCTGCCTGGAGAGAAGGAACCTTGGTGGTGCGGTGGGTTAGGCGGTGGGCTACTAGCCACACAGTCGATGGTTCAGACCCACCTGCTGCTCCTCCAAGAAAGGCGAGGCAGCCTCAGACCCCATACAGTGTCTGTGGGTCGGAGTCGACTCAATGGCAGTGGGTTTGGGAGTTTTATGTGTGGGTGGGGGTGTGGTGTCGTGGCTGTCAACATGCCACCTGCTGCTGCTGGCAATCTGTTTTCAGGCCCGGAAATCCTATGGCGCAGCTCTGTTCCACACACACACCGCACAAACCACACACACACCGCACACACATACAGACACCACACACATACACACTCCAAGTCCACTCATGGAGCTAGCCATAGCTGAGCAGGGGCCCGCCTGTTAGGAACCCCTCTCTGAAGGTCACACCTCATGTCAAGGGGTGAGCGGACTGTCCTTCCCCTGGTCACTTCTGAAATGCCTCTGCCCTGCCCCTCCCCGAAGGCACAGGTCTCCAACTTCCAGCATGAGAACGAGGCCCTGCGGTGCGGCCAGGGTACCAGCCTGAGCGTGGTAAAGCAGAACACCGACGTGGCCTTGCAGAACCTCCGTGTCGTCATGAGCAACGCACACGAATCTATCAAGTAAGCCCCAGGGGGCCTGCTGTCAGCCCTGGGGGTCACCCCACCACCTGCAGATCGCTTTGCCTCCCAGACACTTCACCTGTAACTGAAAGGGCCCATATGCTGTAAAGGAGTCCTGGGGATTTATAGGAGAAGGGCCGGTACTCTGGGCCCTGCAGGGTCCTGTAGGGTCGCTGAGAGTCTGAATCAACTCCACAGGCCTGGGTGCCTATTGTCAGATGTCACTGAAGTCAGAGAAGGCCTAATGTCAGGCCAGCTGCTGCCATCAATCAGAGCCATGATAAGTTTAAGTTGGGCTGTTTCTCCTCCTTAAGTGTGTGTTACTAATCTTGAACAATTATTGTAACAGCTTACGATATCTGTTTTCGTCTTAGGCAGCTGGTTTCTGGAGCGGAAACATTGAATCTTGTTGCTGAAATCCTGAAATCTATAGACAGAATTTCTGAAATTAAAGAGGAGCAGGAGGCAGACTCCTGAGCTCCACAGAGATGTCTCCAGCGCAAAGCTCGGCTTGCACCTGAGATCACAGCTTGCCTTATTTAGAAATGCGCTGTCTTGCCACGTAGGACCCTCACCCGAAGTAAACATGTTTGTCACGCCACGCTCATTTCCTACCTGCAGCAGTGTTGTCGCCCGCACACAGTCAGGGCGCGGGTGTGTGGGGGCTGCCACGCGGCTTCTCCAGAGCCTACTGGGGAGCTGCGCTCTTTTCTAGACACAAACACTCAATGGGAGGAATTCTTAGAAAAGCCAGTGGTTTTTCAAAACGACTCAATGTGAAAGCTGCCAGTGTGCAGTCATGTTCTTCATTCCCTGGAACACGAGCTGGGAGGAAGTCGGGTTAATACGCATCAACAGTACTAAGCGAGCCCCAGTACAGACAGTGGGCTTGTACCGCGGTCCCTCGCAGCTTCCTCTGACCCAGCAGTCGCCCACAGCCTTGCAAGTGTCGCTCCGGTGCCTGTGGCTCTGGACCCGGCCTGGGTGGCGAGCTGTGTAAACTACCTCATAGGCTTCCGTGTCTGACAAGCTTGTGAGCTGGAAGCATTGATACTTCATGTGACCTACAGGTTGCTTAGGAACCAGACTCAAGTCCAGAGCCTTCCAGGTGCCTTTCTAGCACTTTCTGACACAGGCAAGGGCCTCTTTGACTGTTTACCTACAGATGCTACTTTCTAAAAATAAATGTATGTTTTTCTCTCCTGTTGGAATGGACAGCTCTCCTATTTAATAAACCCGATAGTTCATACGCAGTGGTCTCATCCCTCCTCCCCCCACTTAGCCAGTTCTTCAGGCGTGAGGAGGCAAGCACTGTGGCTTGTCTGCTCTGTTCCTAACCTGACTGGCGCTGGTTGGTGGGCCTGTCAGCTCCTTGAACACCAGGATATGCGGGCATGAGAGCCAGGGGTCAGGTTCAGTTTGAACACAGTGCCCATAGCTGCACCTTTCCAACGAACAGGTTGGGTGTTCTGAGGTGATGTGGTTGGTTATGCTTTCCAGACAAGATGTTTGAACCGATAGACCTCCTGACCCCAAGTAAAGATCAGAGGTTTCCGAAGTCACCACTGAGCTCACATCCAGTGGTGCCTTGGTAAGAAGGGGCCTGTGGCTCTTCTGACAGAAGGGCAGGAACAAGCTGCTGCTTCAGTAAGTTTTTAGTGTGAATTGAGTGAGAAAATGGGAGAAAATCGGTTATATACGCATCGTTTCATTGCAATGATTATAATCCCCTCCATATGTCATCATTCAACAGTGTTTGCTTCTATTCCCTCTGTTGTATTTTGTTTTGTTTTTGGCATGTACACAAAAACACTCAGAAATATATAATCATTTAAACCACCAAAGGGCACATTCTGCAGCCTGCCTCCTGGCCACCAACATACAGCCTTTCTCTTTCCATGAGTCTAGAGTCCTAAGCTGCTCCCTCTCTCCATGTCCTCATCGCTGGATAGGGTCCCGCATTCTGCTCGTGCTCTTCTCCCTTGATGATGTTAAGGTCCTTTGAGGAACGAGCTAAGTTTCTGGGGTGCATATGGCTGTGAACCCACACAGGCCGGGTGGTGCCCTCGGGACTCAGGCCCTTTTCATGGCCTTGCCTTTGGTGTGTGAGAGTTGGCAGATTTCACATTGCAGTCTGTCGAGCTGTAGCTGCATTCGTAGTTGACTACCTGCCAAGGTACTTTCATCACTTGCCTCATTTGTGAGTAAACCACTCCCCCTAGGAAGGTGCCCTGGTGGTGCTGTAGGATAAGCACTGGGCTGATAACTGCAAGGTCAGCAGTTCAAACCCACCAGCTGATCTGAGGGAGAAAGATGAGGCTTTTTATGCACATAAAGGTTACAGCCTCAGAAAATCTATACAAGGTCTCTCTTGAGTCAGGACCAACTCAATGGTAGTGGGGTGGGTTTGAGGGTATCCCAGGGGCTCTGAAGGCAGTTCACCAGGCCTGGTCTGCATGCTGTGTGCAGGCCCTTTCCCCTGGGCACTCCAACCCCAGATGGGCCATTAGTAGGGTATTCTGTCCCACCTGCTGACCTGAACCCCAGCAGCTCTAGTTGTGATCAAAGGAGGGGGTCTCAGGCGGAGCAGGGGTGCCTGTCAGGGTGGCAGCCTAGTGAATGGACTGGTCAGGAGGCCTGGTGCCGTGGGAACTAAGTGTCTAGGAGGCAACCCATATCAGCAGACTCCTGCTCCCCCAACCCGGCCCAGGTGCCCCTCATCCTGTGCCAGGTCTGTCCTGGCACCCGGGAGCCCCATTACTGAGTGCTCAGGGTGCCTGGCCCAGGGATCGCTACAGTAACTGGACGATGACCAAGAGTGGTAACATTGCATTCCAACTTAAGCTACCCGATGTTGTCAAGTGCCATGGAATGGGTTCCAACTCATGGCGACCCTGTACAGGGTTTGTTTCCAAGGTGGGTTTGAACTGCCATCCCTGAGGTTAGCAGTCCAGTGCTTATCCAACGGCACCACACCAGGACACCGTAGGTCAGAATAAACTTCCCGGAGGGTTTCCGAGTCTGTAAATCAGAAGCCGACTGCCCCGTCTTTCTACCAAGGAGCGGCTGGTGCGTTTGAACCGCCAACCTTTGGGTCAGCAGCCTACCACATGGCCCACTGAGCCAGTAGGAGGGTACAATGGGGACTCGCAGGCCAGGGACCTAGCTTTCCCCGAGGCTGGTATGCAGCACCCAGCACTGAGGTAGGCAGGGACTGCCAGCCACCGGGCCCCTCCCAGCGCCCCCGCCGCTGGCAGGTGCTTCGCTTCCCACGTGTGCGCTTGGCCTTGAGACAAAGACCCCAGCGTCAAGCAGCCCGTCCGCAGTGCTGAGCCCGGTGGCTGGTCTAGGACACGGTCCGCGGGCGACCGCCAAGCTGCGCCGGGACCCGCGGCGGCCGCGAGGGGGCAGCACCGACCTCCTAGCTTCTCGGGTCCTGGCGGCCACAGCGTTCCTCCCCGGCGTGCACCGCGCCGCCGGAGGCGGGACTTCCGGGCTGCGAGGCTCGCTCGAGGCCCGCGAACGCCGGAAGCGCGGGCCCAGGTCGCCTGGGCGACTGAGCGAGCTGCGGGACAGGTGAGGAGCGGGCTGCCGAGGCAGGGCTGGAGCCGCCCGCCCTCGCGGTGGGAAGCCGGCGTCCGAATGGGGCCCGCGCGGGCATGGGGGGGAGGAAGCGCTCACCGGGGCTCGGCTGTGTCTCCATACCGGTGCTCCGGAGGGGGGCGAAGGAGCGAGCGGCCGCGGTGAGCTCCGGGGAGGCTCCTGCCGAGCCGATTTGCAGTGTCAGCAGAGCGCCCCTGCGGACCGGGTGCGCTGTCCTGTCCCTGCTCGGCTGCACCCCGCGTGACAGGCGTCTGCGCAGACCCCACCAGCGCCACGAAACTCGTGGGCTCGCGCGGCCGGGCTCCCACGGGCCTGTGCGCGTGTTTCCCGGAACCAGCCCCTCCCCCCCGCGCGTCTCCCGGAGCCCCCTCCCCTTGAGCGAGACTCTTGTCCAGGTGTTGAGACGCCGCCAGCACGGGCCCCAGCGCGCCTCTCTGGGCTGCGGGAGAGAGGGCGTGAGCCTCCGGGGATCTGGTCCCCACAGCGCTGTCTCTGCTGGGTGGGCAGCCGCTCACAGTGACCCCTGTGTCTGCAGAGGTGGGAGAGACCATGGCCACGGACTCTGAGCGAGAGAAGATCGAGCAGGAGATCCGGGAGCTGGAGAGGATCCTGGAGCCCAGCTCTTCCCGCATCAGCGTGGAGCTCTGTGAGTCCAGTCTGGACTCAGAGTCCGATGCAGGTACTTCTCCCAAGCCACCTTGATACCCGTGTCGTCCAGCCCCCTCTTGTTGCCAGAATACGGACCAGGCTTTGTCCGTGTCCCACCTACAGGCGGTCTGTGGCCTTTTTCCTTCATAAGTCCCGTGTGGGGGGAGGGGGGCGAGGGGCCCCCCAGGGTCCAGGTGGTCTTTCCAGGGCTTGCTGAGATGATAGCTGGTGACCACCCTCACCCCCCAACTCTGCTGCCCTGACCAACACCTCCCTGCCAGGCTGGCCCCCAGGCCTCACCTCTGCCTGCTGCCTTGGCCAGACCTCAGCCTCCTGACCTAACTGGGGGTTTTTTCACTTCCCTAAGGCCCTGCATTGGGCCTCTCTGATCCCCAGGCGGGTCTGTCCTCCCTGCCTCCCTCACTCCCCAGACAGTCTCCATTCCCCCCATAGCAGAGCTGGTGGGCTGTTGTCATTAGCGCCGTGGGCAGGGAGGGGAACGCTCCCAGTGCAGACACCCGAGGCTGTCCCCACCCCAGGGACGCTGGTCTCAGGACACCGTCTCTGCACTGAGCTGGACCTCAGTCTCACACACACACACCTAATGCCTGTCCGTGTCCACGAGCTGTCACATCACCTAACGGTAAGCCCCATGCCCACCATCAGTCACCGGCACTGTGCTTGTGTTTCCACAGATTCACTGCTGCAGGACGAGGACTCGGACGCCCCTGACCCCCCGATCTCGGTAACCACACGTGGGCTGCCAGGTCCACCACAGCAGAGTGAGGGGAGGGCATTACAAGGCCACATTGGTAGTCGTGGCGGCTCCATGGGATAAACCAACCTGCTAAGGGACCTGTTGTCTAGATGGAGCTGTGTCCCAGCCTGCACATGTGCAAGGACGTGGAGCAGCCCTCTCTCTGCTGTGTCCTGGTCTTTGTAGTGGTGACGCTCTGAGTCCCTCCCTCCCAGGGCCGCCGAGGGACGCCTGTAGGTCTTCAGTTAAGCTAATCACAGCTACGTATTGTGGTTTGGGTTCTGTGTTGCTTGGGGAAATTGATGATTTGCTCATTCTGTCTTCCATTAAATCAATGAGTGCAGTTAGTGTACTTAGCTGCTAACCAAAGGCTGCAGATATTGAAGTCCACCAGAGGTCCCTCGGAAGAAAGGCCTGGCAATCTCTCCCCCCCCCTTTTTTTTTTTTCTTGATGATCCTGTGGAGTACAGTTCTACTCCTACACACATGGGGGCAAGTGGTGGTACTGGTGGGGATAGATTACGTGGACAAATGTTTGTTTTTTTGTTCTGCCCAGTTTATGTAGATTTGCTTCATTTCTTCAATGGCTCAATATATGGAGTATTGGTAAAAAGCTGTCGGATAAGCACTGGACTGTAATGTCGTTTGAACTGCAAGGTCAGCAGTTCAAACTCACCAGCTGCTCCTCGGAAATTGTACACAGGGTCTCTATAAGTGGGACCCAACTTGACAGCATTTAACAATGACGGTGTCCACACGTGTTGACGTACCATGACTTGTTTGACTAGTTACCTTCTGTGGGTTCTCACAGACAGCAGTGTGGTGGTCTTCCTGCACACACGTGTTCTTAGGAGGTCATTCTACCAGCGTGAAAAGTAACCTGCCCTTTTTTTAGAAGTCCACATTTTGTAGGAAACACTTGTTGTCCTCATGTCACTGACATTCCCAGCAGCCCAGTGGCCCCACGTGCTCAGTTGGACCTGCCCATGACCCACTGAGGAAGTGGCCCAGGCTCCTTGCAAGCATGCGTGTGCTCCATGTCCACTCCACAGGGCAACTCCTGGCTCTGGTCAGGTCCATCCCACGACCCAGTGCATGCTGGGCCTGGCTGGGTGGCCTAGCGGTCCTTGAGAAGCAGCTGTAATACGAAGGTCAGGGAGGCCCATCTCACTTCCTCACATGTGGGGTATGGCTCTTCTAGGAAGAAGATAGGTGGGGTGAGGCCAGCAATGAGGAGGAGGACCCTAAAGACCGGAACCTCCCCGAAGACCCTGAGACCTGCCTGCAGCTGAACATGGTCTATCAGGAGGTGCTGCAGGAGAAGCTGACCGAGGTGCACCTGCTGCTGGCCCAGAACCGCGCCCAGCAGGTGGGGCGGGCAGGGGCCCGTGTGCAGTCTGAGCAGCCGGCCCTCCACGGCCTGCCTGCCCACCCTCACTGGCACCCGCTCTCCTGTCTGTCCCAGGAGGAGATCATGGGGAGCCTGGCTGGCTCCAAGGTGAAGGTCAGGAAGAGCCTACCTCCTCACATGTTTATTGGGCACTTCATGAAGCCCTACTTCAAAGATAAGGTCACTGGAGTGGTAAGTGCTGGCCCCAGGCTGTGCTCGGGGCTCCGCCACCCCCGAGCAGGCTGGGCAGAGTTCTCCCTGTGGTGGTCACCTGACCTGGGTGGGCGGCCCTGCACACTGGGGCAACATGGGGTAACGTCCCCAACGGCCCACACACAGGCAGTCTACCGACATCATGACATCTCTGCCAGGGGCCCCCGGCCAACGAGGATATGCGGGAGAAGGCCGCCCAGGGCGTCAAGTCCTTCGAGGAGCTCCTGGTGACCAAGTGTGAGTGCCCACACTGTGCTAGGGGCCCAGGCCTTGGTGCCGCCTTGAGGCTCCATGGCTCCCCCAAGCCCTGATGGGGTTGGGCAGTGCAGACACTGATGTAGCACCCAGCCCGGAGGCCCTGCCCAAGGCTGCACTGTTTGCTGGGCGTAGGGGCCTCTCCACTCCCTCACTCCTGGCTCCGTGTGTCTCCACAGGGAAGAGCTGGGAGAAAACCCTGCTCAGGAAGTCCGTGATTAGTGACCGCCTGCAGCGACTGCTCCAGCCCAAGTTACTCAAGTGAGTCGGGAAACAGCAGCCATGAAGCTCGCTCTGCTGGCCTCAGTCACCAGCTTCAGGGACACAGGTCCCCAAAGAAGCAAGTGGTCATGCACCTGCTCACTGGGCTGGGCCACAGGAGCCGCTTTTAGTTGTGTAGCTCAAGCAGCGTCTGCCTTTGAGGGCCTCGGTTTTCTCCTGTGACGTGGGGCGGGGTGCATGCCTGTTTGTCAGTATGGTGTGTTGTGTTTGTCCATAAGTTGTGTTGTGCTTGTGGGTACATTGTGTCATGGTTATTGGTGAGGTATTTTGTGGTCGTTGGTACATTATGTCATGTTTGTGATGAGGTATTTTGTGGTCGTTGGTACAGTGTGTCATGGTTGTTGATACGTTGTGTTGTGCTTACTGAGTCCCTGACTGGAGCTTGTCTAAGACGGAGCCTATCTGTCGATACATTGTATCACGTTTGTGGAGACCTTGAATTTGTTTGTTGGTCGTGTATAGTATTTGTCAGTTGTGTCGTGTTTGTTGAGATACCGCGTTGTGGTTACTGACGCATCATATGTGATTGTGGGTTCCATGTTAGTTGGTAACGTAGTGCGCTGGCTGATGCGATGTGTCACGTTTGCTGGGGTGTTGTGTTTGTTGAGATACGGCGTTGTGGTTACTGACGCATCATATGTGATTGTGGGTATCGTGTTAGTTGGTAACGTAGTGCGCTGGCTGATGCGATGTGTCACGTTTGCTGGGGTGTTGTGTTTGTTGAGATATGGCGTTGTGGTTGTTGATGTGTCATGTGGTTGTTGGTACCGTCTTAGTTGATGGTGTATTGCGCTGGCTGATGCAGCATGTCACGTTTGCTGGTGTATTGTGGCCCGCCCTTCGCTACACCGTGACGTGTTCAATCATACTCTGTGTCACGTGGCCGAGACTGGAGATTTAGGGATTTAGGGATGCGGACAGTGGGGCCTGCTGAGACATGGCTTCCTCAAGGGTCCGAGTGGACTGACCAGCAGTGTCCTCCCATCCTTGGCCTGGCTCTCCACTTTAGCTGGGTGACGTGCTGTAGTCTGGAGGTGGGCCTTGGGGGAGCTCCTGGGCCAGTTGGGTGGACAGCATCCTGGGTTTGGAGGAGGCTCCATGGGATGCAGGACCCCGTCCTGGTACCTGGGCTGAGCAGGGAGACGAGGGGGCTCTGCGGGGACAGGATGGGCAGGCCTCAGCACACACGTCAAAACCCTGCCTGGGTTTTGTCTTGGTTCCAGCGTGGTAGGCGTGAGGGGGGCCGTGGGGGCCAGGTCACTAGCTGTTTCAGGTCCTATTCAGGGTACAGTTGGGCTGGCTGACCATGTATGACTTCCTGGCCCCTCTCCCGTCCCCCAGGCTCGAGTACTTGCAGCAGAAGCAGAGTCAGGTCTCCGGGGAGACTGAGAAGCAGCTCCTAGACAAGCAGATCCGGGACACAGAGAAGGACATGGAGGATATTCAGTAAGATGGGGGCCAGGGTATCCAGGGAGGTGGGTAAGCTGAGGGATGTCTAGGGAGATGGGCCTGGGGGCCGGGGGCATGCAGATACACAGGGACACTGGGCTGTGCGGGTACAGAAGCCCAGGGAGACAGGGCTGACTGAGGGGTGGGACATCCATGGAAGCCTGAGCCCTGGAGATGGGGGGCACGGGGGACAGGAAAGGCCGCTGAGGTGCCCACACCTTGGTTCCCACAGCCAGCTTTCAGAAGAGGCCCTCCTGGGTACCAGACAGGACAACCATGACTGGGAAAAGATCTCCAACGTGAACGTGAGTCAAGGGCAGTCCCGCACCTGTGTGCTTGTGACTGGGGCGGGGCACGCATCAATAAAGCTCCCCTAAAGGGCAGCCGCATGGCACTGGTTCCTGTCACTGACTTCACCTCTGTAACCAGGCACGGGGTCTGCTGCTGTGCACTGGGGTGTCTGACCACACCCCGGGCTTCACAGAAACCCCCTTCCCACTGCCGGGAGGAGGCTGCAGGCTGGGGCCAGGGACCTGGCCAAAGAGCCCACCTCTATGGTTCTGATGGTTAGGCCCTGAGTTGCTTGGCCTGGGTGGTCCTGGGCCCCTTGGGCCCATAAGAGGGTCTCTGTTGTGCAGTTTGAAGGTGGCCGCAGTGCAGAAGAGATCCGGAAGTTCTGGCAGAACTGTGAGCATCCGAGCATCAACAAGCAGGAGTGGAGTGAGGAGGAGGTGGAGCAGCTGAAGGTCATCTCGGCCCAGCACGGCCACCTGGAGTGGCAGGAGATAGCCGAGGAGCTGGGGGTGAGGTCACTGCTCTTGTCTACCCTTCGGGGGCTGACCCACAGACTCAGCACCCAGCCGGGCTGCCTCACTCTTCCGTGGACTCACTGCTTTCTTCACCAGGCTCTGGGGCTGATCTTGGTGGGGTTTCAGAACAGTTCTGAGTTTCTCTTGGGTTCTTCCTTGGTTTACGCATTTCCTCAAAGTGAAGCCAGACCCCTCCTCTCAGGGTTGCCTGGAGACACCCTCCCCTTGGTCTCGTGGGTCTTCACATTGGTATGTTTGTGCACAGACCACTTGCATGGTGTGTGTGGGTCTTAGTTGTGGTGTCAGCCAGCGCTGGGAGCATCAGTGCTCTTTCCGAGTGTGGGTGTGGCCTCTGCTGTTCCGTGTACTCGGAGGGGACTTGGCAGGTACAGAGTGCATGTGCTCTTGTCCTGTGTGCTTGTGTAGAAGCACAGTGAAGTTCAGCAGATGAACAGGGCAGATTTGGAACCATGAACGCCAGTCTAGCTGGGTAGGTCAACCTGAGAGATGTAGCCATGACACTGCTTGTGAACTGTCCTGGCCCCAGCCCCTCCGTACCCTGCTTTTCGTTGTTGAATGCTGTAAGTCAGTGCCGACTCAGCATCTTAGCTGTCCGAGGAGATCTGGCTCATGGGATCTTTAAAGAAACGGATCATCAGACCCTTCTCCTCTGGGGCCGCCCACCTGCACCTAGCGGCCAAGCATTGAGCTGTTGCTGCATTAGGGCTTTCTGTCCCCTCATGCTGACTCGGACTCGGCTCACAGGGACCCCCGTGCTGATACATGATAACACCTCACAGGGACCCCCGTGCTG